CTTTCAAATATTGTCTCGTAACACAGTCCACTGCATATGATGTTACCTCTTCTCAGAATGCTATACCTTCTTTCATTCCTTCTGATATCTCTTTCTCCCTGTGTTCCTTAAACACTCAGCTTAGGCATTATATTCTCATCATTGTGAACTGTTATATCCCCATGTACATACCATATCCCGGGTATGCTAGTGCTAACCCTAGTATATATAGTACTCCAATTCATTCTTTATTTGACTGATTTGTGTCTTTAAACTTTGAGTATCTTAAGGCAGGAGCCTTGCACAAGACAGATGCTCAATAAATATTTCTTTAATAAGAAAACCTCGAAATAACAATATGTTCTTAATAGCTTCTAAGAATTTATTATTCCATGTATTTTCCTTACTGCATACCCCAAATACTATATTTTATTTGTCTGTATATTTGCACATAAGACATTATAAAATAATACAGGAAAATAGTTATTATAATTCAAATCTAAAAATTTGGTTTTCCCTAAGAAAAAAGATATGGTTAATACATATTTATGACAATTTCAACTATTATTCTAGTTCATTCCTACCTTTACCTGAAAACATCTCTTAATTTTATCCCTTTAATTATGCAACATTTAAAACACAAACATATTTTGATATCCAGACACATAAAATGAAATCTTACCAAATAGAAGTATCATTACGGTCTGTGAAAGTTAAGTCCACCTAATTCTAGTTACTTAAACACTGGGGCATTTTAAGAAATTTGCATGTATTCTAATACTTTCTGAAGTACTGCTTCTAAATATCACACAACACTTAAGAAAATTCTGGTATCAGGTTGAGGAAAGGGTTTGTGCCCATTTCACAAACTGCCAATGTTAAGAATGGAAGACATGGGATACAGGATGGCAGTGTGTTTCCCCAAACAGAATCACCTGAGGCACTTTAAAAAAGAAAAAAAAATTCCTGGGATCCAACCCTAGAGCACTGTGATACAGTATGTCTGAGAAAAAGGCTTTTCAAACCATTTTGATAATTAACCAGGTTTGGGAAATCATGAACATTAAGTAGACTACAAGTAGATTTCAGTAATTCCTGCCAGACTTGAAGAAGTTGCATCTTTGAACCCATATAAACACAAAAAATATTGATTCACCATTTAAACATCATACATTTTGAACTGCTTTTCCAACTACAATTTTGACTTGTGTTGAATAAATGAAGTTTCTATACTATAAATACTGATCTGTCAAAAACCACTTTCACTAGATTACAGTGAGGCTTGATCAGTTTTCTTTCTTAAGAACACCATCGTCATCCTCCACAATTGAAGAAAAGAGCTACTACACCTTTCATTTTGTCTTAAAAAAAAAAAGCCACACCTAGAAGAAATGAACTATTACTATTCTAACCTGAACCATATAATATGGTATACTTTTCGAAGTATTTCAGCTGTAAAGTCATTTGAGCTCATCACTATCTTGTGAGATACTTTCACTATGTTAAAAAAAAAAACAGGTATGTCAAATTTTATACCTAAAAAATACATAAAAAATGGACCCTGATTACTCCCATAGGGTAACCAGTTTCAAGTACCTAAATGTACCAAGTTAACTACATCCCATTAATGGTCTTCGCTCGTATAAAAGATCTCAAAACTGTCAATAATATCCACTACTTTAAGAACAAACTTGAAAAAATTTGTTGATGGGCAGTAACAAGAAAACATATTTTAAAAACTTTCACATTCTTTTGAAAACTGGTAAAAGTTTCAAAACATAGACCAAGCTATAGATGTGCATCTTATGCTAAAACTGGTAGTAGTCTATTTTATAACTTAGTCTTAAACCTGTTTTAAACACCTAATAACGAGAGAATTTTATCAGTATAATTTTAGACACAGGGAAAAAAAGTGATCCAATACAATGTCAGTGTATTATTTCTGACATTGAAGCTAATTTCTATATAAGTTAGTTACTGGAATAAATATAACTAAAGGATAAACGATTGGAGAAGTATACACAGATGTATGGCAAAAAGAAGACAGAAAACCACAAGCAACACAGAGAAAACGATGAGATGTCATATGGCACCACCACTGGCAATCCTAGATGATAGTAAGATGGTAGGAGAACCAGTAAGCAAATGACAGACTGATCGTGATTCAGTCTTTACAACCAACATAGCACTTAAACATTTTCAAAATCTAAGGACAATGATCTGCTCATTCTGGAATAGCCTTAGCCCCAAGCTAAGTCATATTTGACCAGTAAGTTTTACATAAGTTTCAAGCAAACACACAAACAAAACAAATGATGAAAAAAGCACTGACTTTTTATTACTAAGGCTAACATTATAGCAACACTGTTTTTCACCCATAATCACATTTATGGATATTACATCTTCTGCTGCAACATAATTGAAAAATTACTGGAATTGTTTCTATAATTACAGTCAAATACCTAATTAAAAAAATTAGAGGTTTTAATATTTGCTTGATCTGTTTCACAAACAAGAATGATCTCTGTCGTTAATGCTTGAAATAAAATGTCCAGAGCCATTTGACTGAGTTTTAAATTATATTCTTAGTATCATGTTAAATTTGTGCCACCAATTTCAAGATGCTATATGATTCAGATTTTACTACTTCACTGTAATTTGTCAGTAAACCTCTTTTCATTGTTATACATTCTTTTAAGGTATATCATTCGCATAAAGTCATAGGCATGTATTTGATTATGGCAAAATCAGAGTATGTTTATCATTTTGAAATATTTTGAGATAAACATATGGGTTGTGTAACTATACCAAAAGAAGACAATAGCATTACCTTCTTTATAGTTTACAGAAAAACAACTATAAAAATTCAAGCAGTGCGACATATAATCTAGCTTCTAATTACTGCTGGAAGAATAAACAAGACATAATTTACCCCAACAAATAAGCTGTATCTAGTTTCAGAAAGCCTTAGTACCATACTGCTTTCATAACCACTTAGGAATAAAAACAATACAAGTGTACCATGAGAAGTCCTCAAAATCCTTCACACCTACCCTACCTCCCGAATTCAACAGAATTCTACCTAACAGACTGAATGTCTGGAGGAAGCTTCAGTCAAGGCTGCTTCAACTAGGTAAAGCTACTATTAATACTACACCTAGTAGTTTGGGAAACCTAAAACATGGAAAAGGAGAGAGACTTGAAAGGATCAGGGAAAAAGACAAGAAATTGGGGTAAACTCCACTCTTGGGATGAATAATAATAATAATAAGATAAATAATTACTATGGGTTTTGTTTGCTTTGTTTTTATCACAAGCAATTTGTACTATTATAATAGGTCTGTAACTGTAATCACCACTACAAAAAGAGTCCTAACTTGAGAAAAATGAAAATGACTCGTCAGTTTCCTTTTCAAAGTGATACATTAAATACAATCTAAAAAAAACTCCAGTTCGGTGTCTAAAAAACAAGTGAATAACAAACACTGTCTCATTCCCTATTCTGTAATCTCCGTTTTTGCCATCCTTATCCTTATTCTGTTTTGTCCTACCTTTGTCCTAGGCCTCCTTTTCCTTCTTACACATCATAGATGTACAGAGATGCAAAACAGAAGAAAAATTTTATTTGTGGAATTAAAGTACCAGGGCTTCTTGCCTCCAAGACATCAAACCAAGATACTGGACTTCAAATGCCCAATTTAAATCATGTGCAACATCCATGAGGGAATAAAATTGAATAACCAAACCCAATCATAGAATCTCTCTTAAAACCCCAGAAAGGCCAGGCCTGGGGGCTCACGCCTACAATCCCAGCACTATGGGAGACCTAGGTAGGAGGATTGCTTGAGGCCAGGAGTTTGAAACAAGCAAGATCCCGTCTCTAAAAAATTAAAAAAAAAAAAAAAATCAGCTGGGTGTGATGGCAATCACCTGTAGTACTGGCTACTGAGAGACTGAGGCAGGAGAACTGATTGAGCCCAGAAGTTCAAAGTTATAGTGAGCTATCATCTGGCCACTGCATCCCATCCTGGGTGACAGAAGGAGACCCTGTCCCAAAACAAAACCAAAACCCAGAAGCAGCACACAATCACAATCTCAAAGTGTTTTTTTAATACATTCTCCTATGTAAAGGACAAAAATGCTGTGCTCGAGGCGATAATCAGGGGCCTGGAATAATTTCTGAATCTCTTAACTTTACCACAAAAGTTCTACCGAGACACTGATTGAAAATTACATTTCGAATATACCACTCACTGAAGAAATGTAAACAAGCACTGGGACCAACTTTAAGATATTGTCCAAGGAAGAATAAAAATCCAAAAAAAAATGTGATTTAATTAAAAAATGCAAAAGTAACTTATTTAGGAGTACTTTAATAAAGATGGAACAAGAGAACTGGAAATCAGTGGAGTTATTTTTAGCAGCTTCTTCGGATAAGACCTACCTTAAACTGCCTTTGGCTGTGCAAATTCTAACATCCAACAAATTGCTTGGAGGTTGCTTTTCTATCTAATAGGAGGCAGGGTGACCTGTACTAATAATTTTGGCCAACAGGTCTGTGCCCTCCAGGCTGCCACCCGGCGCGCCCCCCAGGACCAGCCCACAGGCTTGAGTGTTTCGGTCAGTTCTTCATTAGCTAAAGGATTTCCCCCTGGCGCTTTAGCAATTCGTTTAATAAGAAATCTCTCACGGGATGTGAAGGTATAAAATGCGACCAAAATAACCTTTTCGCAGTTTTCATAATTTTGGTGGAGGGGGAAAGCGTACAAAGCCGTCAGACCGAACGCCCAGTGGATTCGCGGACTTGGGGTTACCGCACAGACCCGAGAGAGTCCCTAGACCAGGAGCGGTGGCGCGCGGGGGCAGGCAGGGTGGTAACGCGTGGCCTCGGGACCCGACAGCCGCGGATCCCCCCTCGGGTGATGCTCCCCGCAGGAGCGGCCGCGGCGCCCAGAGGGCGGGCGGGCGCCAACCCCGGGCGCGGTCTGCAGGGGTGTCGGCGGCAGCCCCGCTCCCCGTACCTGATGATGTCGTCGCTGTGGCCCCGGTAGAACTTCTGCCGGTGCTCCCGCGGGCTGTACACCACGCCGACCCCCGCCACGAAGTACACGATCTCCTTGGCCGCGGTGTAGTAGAGGTTGTTGCGGCACTGGTGGCCCCGGTAGCCGTACACCCACTCGAGCCGCAGGTGGCAGCTCGGGGCGCTCCGGGCCGCCATGTCGGGGCGCCCACCCGCCGCTGCGGCTCGGGCCCGCGGTGGCGGCGGCGGCCCGGCGACGAAAGCCCTCCTGCTGGCGGCCGGGACTTCCCGCCTGCCGCGTCCTCTAAGCCGCGTCGGGCAGGTGCATCTCGTTTCTGTGGCCGCCGCCGCCTCCTCAGCCCACGGGCGGGAGGAAAAGCCTCGCCGCGCGGAACATGCTGAGGGCCGCGGGCGCCGCCGGCTGTCAAGTGGATGCTCCGAGCCCTTCGCCCGCCTCGGCTCGCCTGGTCTCCTCAGCCAGCAGCGCCGAGGCGGAGAGCGAGGGCCGGCCTCCAGCCTCCTGCTCCTCAGCCGCCGCCCGCGCACCCAGCTCCCGCCGCGGTCACCTGCGGCGCTCGCGGTCTCGTCGCCACAGCCCGGCGGGCCCGCGCCGCGCGCCCACGAGCCGAGCAGAGCGGCGGGCGCGCGCCCGCGTGTGGGCCCCGCCCCCGCCCGCGCTCGCCCCGCCCCTCCCGGAGCCGTGGCCTGGCTGGGGCTCCCTGGGTCACCGCCCGAGACGCGCCTCCGCGGCTGACCACTCGCCAGGCCGCCCACGCCCCGGCGGACCCTCGGCGACCCGGGCCCCTGCGTCTGTCGGTCCCGCACAGCCCCTCCACCCAGCCTGGGCTGCGGTTATTCCTGGGAGAATCTACGCCAGGATGCTCACTAACTTCATTCCCTCTTTCCCCCCCGTACCTCGTGTGCGTGTGTTTCTTGCTGCCTCCGAGTGCTCTCTGGTCCGGGCATTGGGTGGGGGTAAACCCTGACCTCCTGAGTGTACATTTTCTTATTTGTGTAGGTGACCTCAAAGCTGAAATAGAATTTAGATCGTAAAATGACAGGTGAGATCTGATTTCTTAATAAATAGCAATGGTACCTGGATTTTTTTTTTTTAAATTACTGTTTTGGACATCACCAGTAGTCTCTTAACTAAATGAGTTCTTGCAGAGGATGTCTTACATTGTGGTAATCGTGAAGTCAAATAGTGTAAGTATAGTGATCCTGTAGAATACTCCTGTGACAAAAGTATTGGGAGCAATCAGCTCCTGAAGTGTCATTTCCCCTCCTACCTTGTTTCTGAAGTGCCCGTTTCTCACAAAAATATGAGCAAAAATCATCAATACCTGTAAAGGTAATTTGAAATCCACAATTAAAAAGGTATTTCCTCAGGATTAGGAAGGCGGGGGAAGGTGCTAAGTGCAGGATAATAGCCACAGGCTTACAACAAAAATACTAATTGTGATAAGCCAGTATGACCCTTATTGTCTTAAAATTTTCTGTTTTCTTAGGAAATAACAAGACTTGGAAATCTGACAAAAGCTAAAATAAACTACTATCCTTTCAAGAAATACGAGTTCCCAAAGAGGATGATTCCTATGTGGTACAGATATATTGGAATGGATATTACCAGTTTCTCCTTCTTCAAAGATACAAATTACCAACTCGAGACAGGATAATTTTTTGGCTTTGCTTATGACTTCTACTCATGCAGGGAAGAAAGACCATCTCAGAGAAAGAGATTTACATAAATGTCATGAAAAGTAAACTCTGAAGGGGTTTCAATTCTGGGCAGAATCTGAAAGAGAAGAGGAATGCAAAGAAAAAAAGAACTTAGGCTTGAGAAGTGGCTCTGAGGCCTGTGTAGGGTTCCCTGGACAAAGGCACATACAATTTCTCTTTGTCACCTGTAGGGCTTTTTTTGTTTTTTAAGAAGGATATAGTCTAATTCACTAGTGAATTCCTTGAAATCCCCTGGTGAAAAAAAGCAAAAGCTGTTGATGATTCAGATTTAAGCAATGAACTTAGAAAAGATTAAATATTTTGTTGCTATACATTTGTGATACATTAATTACTAGTTACATGTAATTTTTATGATCTGCAGGTTGTAGAAGAATAAGACATCTTTTTTTCTTTTTTTCTATGTTTCGAATTTTTCTGCACAATGTATTATGGATCCCATGATACACATTTAAGTACTCAGATTAATAACAGATTAAAATAATTTATTTTCCCATAATCATATTTTCCATTCTGATTTTAATGACCCAAGGGTAGAGCGTGAAGCAAAAACATTCTTAATTAAACTATCCTCAACTGACAAACTGAAGACCAAAAGAGACAGCTAAGGAAGAAAAGTGGCTAGAACATGAACCATTCATGAATACTAAAGGAAGAAAAAACAAACCTAATCAATTTTTACCCTTACAACTTTATATAATCTATTAGTACTGATATCACATCAGAAAGCTTAAGCTTTTATTGTTACATGGAATTCCATTATCTGTATCCTGTGAATAAGGATGTGGGGGGAAGACCCCCAAAATTCTATATATCAACAAGTGGACATTTGTTAGGCATTTTAAAAATAAGCTACAATCTGCCCCCCACCCCCACCCCATAATGTACTTCCTGAAATTTGAATTCCTAGTATGGAGTTTTATATTCCAGATATTTAAAATATTTCTAAAATTCAAGGAAATAATAAGTTATTTGCTGGCTACAGACCATGCTAGGTACTCTTAGGTTTATAAGAGAAATATAAGGAAAAGCATATAAAACATAAAAACTAAAATTCATGCTATTAATTATAGTTAGCTAATTTCAGCCAATTTATGAATTGTAATGATATTTTAGTAAGCTATCCATTGAAATATCTCTGAAACTATACCCTTAATCTGCCTATTTTAGGTACCTAGCACAGTGCCTGGCACTACAATAGATGTTCCACACATATTTATCATCAATTAAATAGAAAAGAGAATATTGTGCAGTCACAATAGTATTCCTCTTAGCTTTATCTTGAATACTTGAAACCTTTGAAAACTTAAACCTTTTCTAATGTCCAATACTGTATTACTCAGGACTTCTTTGGTTTTAAGTGACAGAAATCCATTCAAAATGTCTTAAGATTAAAAGGGAATTTTAATGTCTCAAAAACTCAAAAGTTCTAAAACTGGTAACAATGTGCTTGGATCCTAGGGCTCAAAAGATGCCATCAGAATCAGGTCTTCAGAATTAACTCAGTTCTACTTTGGGTAGACTCCATTGCCAGACAAACAAAATAGCTGCCGACCACTCCAGTTCTACATTCCATCCTCTTAGCAATCCCTGTGGAAAGAGCTTTTCTCAGCGGTTCCCCTGGAAACTACTAGATTTCAGCCACATTGGCTCTGATTGGCTGCCACCCTTGGATCCACAGAGTAGTGCCAGGTACACTAAAACCACAGGAAGGAAGAGTGAGAATGGAGACTGATCCTCCCAAGGATTCAAGTAATACCAGAATAAGAAGGAATGGATACCGGGTGTGGACGCTCAGGGCTGACTCGGATGCTTTAGCATCCCGCAATCTCCATTTACCAAACCAAATACACCTGCAATCTAAATAAAAAATAGGTGTTTGGTAAATAAATCCAGCTTTAAGACAAGACCCCTTCTAACCAGATTGTCACCCAAAGATCCTTCTCTGAAAAAAAAAAATCCTGAACCTAGCACCAGATGCCAGGCGGGCAAAAACAACAGATGCTCCCTACTATTAATCATAGTTCCAAATGCCTATTAGATTTCACCTAAAGTGTTTAAAAACTAGTACAGTATATAACTCAAATAAAAAGTCCCATATCGAATTATCTTCTCCTACACATCCGCACACCTTGCCATCTTCTCCTTCTGTATTAACAACATCAGTATTACACTAGTTAGGCAGGTTGGAAAGACAGGCAGTTGTTCAACGTTTTTTCACCTCCTATATTTATCTAGTTACCAAGTCCTTTCGACCCAATTTTAGAAATATCACCAAACCTCTCTACATCCACAACCTCCCAATTCCCACAGTTCAGTTCAAATTCTAATTATCTTTTCCCTAGATTCTGCCACCTGAGTTATCTGTAAAAAATCATGTATCTGATCATGCCACTTCCCCTGTTTTAAGAACCTTTTCTGTAAGCAATTTAAGAATAGGCATCTTGAGCCTTGAAATGTTTTTACCCTTTGACGTACTAATTTCTCATCTAGGTACCTGTCACAATGTATTAATGACAAAAAATGCAGATCAAGATTCATGTATTAAAATATTTGTCACAGCATAATTTAGGAAAATAAAAATATGGAAACCTAAATGTCCAACCACAGGGAAAGCTTTAAGCAAATTGATTCAGCCAATGAGACAAAATATAAAACCATTGAAAACTAGGTTTTCAGATAAAGTTTGGCAACATTGGAAATTTCCCATAATAGAATCCAAAAACTTTTTAAAAGCAGGATACAAAAAATATATATGTAGAATGAGCTCAGTTGTATAATGTAATGAAGACTGGAACTAAAAATACCAAAATATTAATAGTTTTATAATATGATGAGTAATTTTTAAACTTTCTTGGTATGTTTTCAAATTCCTTAAAAATATACTGTAGGCCAGGTGCTGTGGCTCATGCCTGTAATTCCAGCACTTTGGGAGGCCAAGGTGGGAAGATTGCTTGAAGCCAGGAGTTCAAGGCCAGCCTGGGTAACATAGCAAGAACCCCCCCATCTCTAAAAACAAATTAGCTGTAGATCTAGCTACTTGGGAGGAGGATCCTGAGGAAGGAGGATCCCTTGAGCCCAGGAGTTTGAGGTTACAGTAAGCTATAATGACACCACTGCACTCCATCCTGGGCAACAGAACGAGATCTTGTCTTTTAAAAATAAATGCATAAAAATATATGTAATAAGATGACAGAATTTTGTTTGTCAGAATTCCTCATGGGAAGAGAATTATGGTTTTTTTGGGGAAAAAAACCTGAATGGGTGCTTGGCATAGAAAATCCTAAAGGAACCAAATGTGGGCAAAACTGTCCCGCATGAGAAATGAGGAAGCATCTGTTGCTCTGAGGTGAGGCAGGAATGAAGTTAGAAATACGGCAAAATTGCAAGTTCTGCCATGCAACTTTCTCTAAAACCTTTCAAATCTTACATAAAGTTTCTAAACACATGAAATGTTAGGT